GATTATAATTTAAGGAATCAGTTAACTAAAATTGTTCTGTGTACATATTTCGGCATCTCTGTCCATGCTTGTAGTAATATTACATTTAAGTTGAAGTTCTGGTATAGTTTCCCGTACTTCTGTGATATTAAATTTCACATCTCACATCTTTTAATATTGTTTTCTATAGATCCTTCGAACGGGTTGTTCCTGTAGTTTACCAGAAACCAGAACCGCCGGAAGACCCGGCGAAGTACAGGCAATCCAAACAAGATCTGGACGAGCTGTGCACGACTGAATGCATCCCATGGGTGATCCAGCTAGCCACTAAGCTGTGCAGCAACACTCATTTGGTTGATAAACAGATAAATTTTTTTCAACATAAAGATCCAGAGCTACCACCAAGACTTCATAAACTTTATGGTCTGTACAAGGCTATTGTACACGAGGTGCGTTTTGCTCGTTGATTCGTACGTACATCTGTGGGACACGTTAAATAACTTTAAAACGTCTTTCTATATAAACACCAATTGTCCATGCCTACAGCCACAAAAAAGGAATAAGAGATTGAGATGAGACGCCATTTCATTATACACTGCCGAAACAATTCTGTACAATTGCAGTACTGTTGGCGTAAATCCTTACAGTGACAGCGACATTATCCCCCAATTCTTTATCTTGATTATCCCATTCGCCCGTGGGAAATTTGCCGAAGAAGGCCTTTTGAAGATAGTCGAGCCGTTTTATGGTCATCTAGTCAAGAACAACCAAAACTGCCTAAAATGCTGCTTCATGTAACATGTAGCCTTACGCACATTCTCGTCCCCAGAGCCACTTGGCTTCATTTGTAAAAGACCACGTGACCAAGAAACGACGGGCTCTGGGGATGAGAATGCCCTAGGCATGTCAGCTACCGAATCTCGTCATGCGCAGAATACGCTGTCTCCTCTATCTTTTCTTCTGCTTGGCATTTGAAACGTTAGGATGGTAGGATAAGATAGAATTGCAGTTGGGTAGTGCATGAGACAAGATTTTCAAAGGAATTTTTCGGGTGAATTTTAGGTGTTTTTCTACCCCACTAACATGCAAAAAGCATAAAAGCATACCAAATATGAACGTTCCCTCAGAAAAAAGTAACAAACTTAGTCATTTTTCATCTTTTGTTTGTTCGTTCTCTGTCTTTCTTTTTTTTTTCTTTTCTTTTCTTTTCTTTTTCTTTCTTTCTTTCTTTCTTTTTTTTTTTTTGGGGGGGGGGGTCATCATCTCAATTAATTTGAGATAGAAGGAGCTGCCCAAAGATTTCTTATGAAGAGGGGAAGCATCACATTCTACAGGCAGGAGCTACCCGCCGAATCCCATCAGCACCCCCCTCCCCCATAAAAGGTCCCTAAAACATGCGTTCTCAAAATGTGGTCGTTCAAAACTGATGACGTCACAACGGGTAAAAAAGACGTACATCCGCACGGGTGGTTACGGGTTTGATACGACAGAGAAACCCGAAAACTAGACAAGATGTTATACTTCAAAAAGTGCGTTGTGAGATATGTTATCAATAAACTAGACACCATGATGGATTAAAAGTACACAATAACTTGGCAGCAAAATAGAACTATGGATCAGTGGGGATCTGGTTCTGGCGTCAGAATTTCTGTAGAAGTTGTATTTTTTACAAGTTTATGGTTTTCAAAATCGTTGATAATTAGACTTTAAATCTTGAGCCAAAAACTAGAAAAATCCATCCACGTTTGGACAGAAAACCACCTAACCTGCCTGTCAAATACCAAATAGGGCCAAAAAGACGGCAGAAGACCAATTTTAGCATTTTTGATTAACACTTAGTAATCAATGTGTCTTTTGCTATTGTTTTAGATTATAGAAAGCTATGGTGCAGGTGAAGATGAAAGTAATAACAGTTCGATTTCAGCGGAGGAGTTTGAAAATTACCTGGACAACATGTTTCTACCATATGTAAGGAACATAGTCCAAACGGGTGGTAGTTGTGACGTGGCTGCCCAGGATTCAAGCTTTCAAGACTTCTGTGAATGTCTCCACAAAACATTACAAGTCACGAAGAATATTGAGGTATTCCCAAACGTTAAAGTAAATACATAGCCAGAGTACTCTCTTTCAGTGTTTATTTTGCCAAAATAATATATAATTGGACCCAAATCATACTGTCTGAAACTACTCATGTAAAGCAGTAACATATATACCTGTAATAGTTTGGGATGTGAAAATGTATATCAAGTTAAAGTTCGAATACTACATTATAACTACATTATTTCGGTGTTAAAATAGTTTTCCCCCACAAGCTTATCTTAAGCTTGATCAAAGACCGGACCCGGGAGACGGCGGAAATGCAGCCTAGTTTTGAATGGCATTGTAGTTGTTGTTGTTGTTGTTTTTTTACAGGAACTGAGGAAATTCGTAAAACATGACGTCAAGTCTCGTGACGGACAGTGTCTACACATCATATTACCAGAGGTGTTAACGTTTATCAAACAGCGTTTGGGGCCAAAAGGAACATTTAACCTCACAAAGTTGAGACGACAAATCAGTGAAATGCCTGGCACTTCGGTGGATCATTCTGGTAGTTTTGGTGGCACGCAAAGACGGTGTGTAAAGATCCCAAGGGTTCTGGTGCCAGACAACACCCTCGAGCTTGTTGATGAAGGTATATAGCAATGCTGCAATAAGAAAAATTTATCAAAACCAATTTAGTATTTACAAAATTGTTGTTAAAAGGATAAGTTAAGATAGGCCTGATTTTCTTTCTTCATATTAATTTTATAAAGCATTTCTTGCCGATAAAGAAGAAAAGCCTGAGGACAGCGCTGCAAGGGAAGAACATGACGGACAGGAATTAGAACGTCTTGGAAAGAAATTAGATGCTGTTCAGCAACATAGTACAAAGCTAATGGAAGAAAAGAAAGTGTTAGAAGAAACCCTTCATAGAGAAAAGCTAAAATGCGCCGCTACTGAACAAGCGATGAAGGATTTGGAGCAAAAATTCGCTGACAAAGAAAGAAATTGGAAGGTTGTAGAAGAAGAGCTACGAGGGACCATCTCTGAGCTGCAGCAGCAGCTAAGGAAGCAAAATGTGAAGAGAAAGCTGTTAAAACTCCCGCAGCCGAAGCATTTTCGCGGATGTTGTCTACCTCAGAAGGTAAATCGGAATTATTATGTATTACCCGGTTGAAACTTGCATTGACAAGCGCCCTCTATTTCAGCCAGAAAGATGGAACATGTCAATTCACATTTTCGTTCATAACAGCACGATGCATAATGACAGGAGGACATTCCTCTCCGCCGTATGTTAATAGGAAAAATAAGTTTACTGTGGTACTGCAAGCTACGAAAATATGTACATTTATTTTACTTCTTTTCACAAAGCTGATGATCTTATTCGTATGAGCCGCCATCAAGTGACACAATACGATATAAAACATCCCTTTTGAAATTGTGATCGGCTAACACTTATCTATTCAAAATTACAGAAAGAAAAAGAAAGAACGAAGTCGACCACCTGTTGGACAAGCTACATGGTGGCATTATCAAAGGTATGACGAAGCCTCTGTATAACCCAAAGGCATAGCGTGAACCCTCCCACTTTAAGGTTGCTGTATCAGACCGCATTGTAATTTCATCTCCTTTTTTTGCGCATTGTTTATCACTTTTTCATAATTTTAAGCTTAAGTCATTAGCTTGACATCTTGACATGTACTTTACATTAACACAGGGACAGAAACCACAATGATATAATTTATTTATCCATTTTCAGGCAAACGATCGCGCAAGTAGATCCAAGTACATCGGTTGCGTTAGCGACGTTGGGTGGTTTTGGGTAGTGGGTCTAAGGCCTCAGGATATCCTGGTTTCCGGTACGGGTAAGATCACCAGTGGCGGTACCCGCTACTCTGAGGAACGGTACACCGGTTACACTGTGACTGAAAAGGCTGAAACAATTAAACCTTGTAAGGCTAAGCTTTCCTTACTATGTAATAACTGACTTAGTTTAGTTGTAGTTATATTCTTTCCACGCTCGTTTTACGCACAAAACATTCCAGCAAAGGCATCTGACATAAACTCAAGGTGTATTACTGAAACTTGTAGACAATTATAGCTATAGACATGAGTGTTTTTTATAATTTTGTTAAAAACACTATTTTTTTGCGCACGGAAGTTAATATTGACAGCAAAACTCTCCTCGGTTAAGCAGTTCTACAAGTCAGATAATTTGATTTTCTTGACAGATAAAGCAAATAGATTGCAGCAATAGGTCACCCGTTTAGCCATGTCCAGTTATAACCTGTGGACCATCGCGAATAAACGGGTATTCTTCACTTGTAGCAGGTAATGACGTCGTCATACAATGAATTCAAAATGGCGCTACTGATACCCGTAGACAAAAACCGGGATATCTTCAGGTGCCTATCATCTTGGTACCAAAAACCAGGGTATGATAAGGTTCCCACTCTCTAACATAACTAAAGGCTGATAAATCTTTTCAAGGTACAGTAAAAACCCGCGTATGAGAACGTAGATTTTTCCAGTTAATTAGCCTAATTGATAGGGGCACTAGCGATCAGGTCAGATAACTACTACAGGGCATATGTCAGTGATATGGAATATATTGCTGTATTAATTAATTTCTAGAATACAGTTTACATTTTGTGATGAACAGGCAGTAAATCAGTGTCCAATCATGCAGGTGTAAAATGTATAGCCCTCAAGCGCTTGGGGTTTGATGCGATCATCATGCATCTGACCCTTCATTTTGTAAAATTAGAGCCTATTGAAAATTTTAGACTAAATAGGTTGTTATGAAAAGGGGGTTTAACATGAAAATTTTAGCCTAACAGGTTCTTAACCTTTATGCTCCTTTAAGCGGGTTTTTACTTTACATCATACTGAAATGTAGTTTAATTGAGTTTTACATTTGTTGATGACTTTTCTAGTTATTGGTGGTCTTTTCATACTTCGACGACAGGCAAGGTTTTGGTGCACAGGGTTCGTACAGTCTTGAATCTGCGAAGCACTTTTCCAGACTTGGAAAAAAGTCTGTAGAAATGAAATGCGTTTTTTTCTAAATTTAATCTTGTCTGTAACCAAAACATTCCTATTTCAAAGAATGAAAAGTTTCAGAATTTTCTTATGTCCGCAATTGCCGTCACTGTGGTTACTGCATGTCTGCAGTGTATCATGCGAAATGGGTGGATCCTACGTTTGTCGAGGTTCAGTCTACCGATCCCCTATTAGATAACTTTGAGTCTGGAGAGGGAAATTATTGTTTTGGAAAAACATCGGGAATAATTCGTGACTTTTGGATCCAAAACCCTGTAGGAACCCTGAGTACGGGTTTATTTTAGCATCAGTTAAAGTATCCCTAACTTCGTTCAAACCACTTTTTAGCACATTTGGGTACAACTGGCTGTCTGCCAGTGCTGTAACAAAACTGTGAGTATGCGTTTCGCCTCTTAACCATTCTGTGAAAAAAGAACATATGGTGGACGTAGGGCAAAGCCACCATAATTCTTTTTAGCCTGCTGGCCCAAACATTGACTTGTTCGGCTGCCATTGTGTTGAAGGACTTCGATAGTATATGATCAGGATCGTAATTAACTTTGCATGACGGATCTTTGTGATTTTTCAAGTGCAGCTGATCAATGACTTTTTCAACAGTCGTCCACATCTTGTTGAATGGGGGTGGGAGAGGTAAATCTTTTTTGGCGGCACGAAGGGAATCAAGATGACACATGTTATCATATGCCAATACAGTCTCTTCCATGGCCTTCAGTACTTCTTGGTCACTCTTTCCACTTTCCTTCATTTGTTTAAATTTATTGTACATCCAAACAATGGTTATAAGAAATGCTTGTGATGGTGACTCGGACCTGTAGAACAAAAGTATCTGTCCCAGTCAAATACATTTCAGTAACTTTTAAGGGTAAGATATTTCTTAAACGTTAACGTACAGCATACTTTTCTAAACGTTTTGTTTATGTAGTAAACGTGTAGTTGTTTAATAATAATTGTTATTTACTCTACTTTAGCGAACGGTCACTTGACTCATATGTAATGTTGATCCTTAACCAAGATGCCAAATCCTTAATAAGTAAATGCTTCTATTGGAAATGGTCAACAGTAAGCCATTAAAAATACCGTTGAATTTCATGGGATGGGAATTCTTTGCTTATTTATTTTATCCCTCAAACTGTTTCTCCTTATTTCTTAATTTTTTGCCTAACTGGTTTGAAAAGAGCAATTTCCACCTCGCAGGAAAAGGTAATTAAAAAAAATTGCTAAGTGCAACCCCTTATCAAAATACAGCACAGCGAAGAAAGCTTGCAAAAATATCAACCATTGGAATTCCGCGGAATTTTGCTTAGTCAGTTAGGTATTTGTATGCCGTTACTTGTAAAAACCTACTGATGTTCACATTCTTACTTGTATAATGGCTGCCAAAAGTCTATGTGCCCACCAGCTGTGGCTATCAGAAAAATTCCTCTTGACCACTTCTGGAGACGCCTCTTACCGACGGTGTCCTTATTACATTGCACCGGAACCTCTTCTTCGCAATCTTTCAGCAGTGTCATATTTGCAGCCATGAATGATCTGGTACCTTAAACCAATAATGTGACAACATATAGAGTAGTTTTCAATAATAATAATAATAATAATAATAATAATAATAACAATGATATTATTATTATTAAGTGTCTCTTCAATTTAACACCGGTAACTACTATTATTGTTGTCTACTGCAACACGAAAACAGCGCATCGATCGATCCAGAATTTGACTAAGTGACTAGTAGTTTGTTTTAACACATAACCCGTCAATAAATTTGCGCGAAATTTGCTAATCAATCAAAATGTAGCAAAGCGACCAAGCGAAAAACGTCTTCTCGCAATCAATTGAAAGGTACTTTTTTTTAGACTGGGCTATCGTTGTGACATTATTTGTGATGAACCCACATATAACGTACACACTCAGGAAAAACTGTTTGAATGCAGAGGTCCACGCAACGCGTAAATATAACTGACCGGTTCCTCTTGCCGGATCTCTAAAAAAAGAGTTGCAGTAGCCAGACGTCACTTGAAGTGTGAAATAAAACAAAACTCAATGTAGGGCTGGCACTACGGCAAAGGGCTGAGTTATTATAGGCCAATATTTCGGCTAACAAAATTAGCCTTCCTCAGGGCCAGAACTATACCGAGAGAAAATATCTTTTAACGGCTCTTAAAATTTAAATTTAAAATAATGAACTACACACACAGTTGTGTAGTCCCTAAGTCCCATTATTCCGCGCGGTCACGTCACATAAATTGACCACGAGGGACTGGGAAAACACTGTACACACACAACAAAATTATCCGTGGTTATAGTGAATCGCTTACTACGAGAAAAACACTAGACTTGTACGTGCTAAAAAGGCGTCCGCGGTTGTAATACTTCCCTAAACATTAAACCTCATGTACACACCTTGGTATACGGCTGCATTTTCTGTTAATTCGGAAACACTGTGACCAGGGCTTTCAATATCTTTCAGTACATTTTCAGGGTCTGTAAAATGTAAATGTAATATAATGTAATTTTAATCTCCTAGAAAAATAAGTTCTATCAAAATGTCTTTTTGAACACTTCATCTTCATGTTACTGCATGAAACACGTGCTTCTTCTCAGTAGTAATACGATTCGCGCTTTCCGCTTGTGAAGCTTCACAAATGACACTAACTTACGTGACGTGGATGCGGGCGGAAAGGCGCTCAGTCGCGTGGCAGGAGGGATAGATCACCGGCAACGGAGCAACGCAACCGTCAACTTCATCATCATCATCAGTCAATGCACTTTTATATTAAAATGGTTTCATTTAGCTATCGATGTCTAAAGGCGACATTACGGTCACTGAGACCATCCACAACATTGTCCAATAGGACCAATAGGTACTTGTTGTTGCTTGTCAAGTTACAATAGTGGTATCTTTTTTGTTTTTGACCTTGAAAGAAGGGGAAATTCAGTTACCTTGTTTTTTATTCCTGCAGTAATCCAGAAACGTTCTTAATTCAGTTGGTATTCCTTTCTGCTTTACAACCTGACAATGTCTATCGCAGAACGCAGACTGGTACTCTGGACTTCTTGGGCAGATATTTGGGTAGTTGATTTCGGTTTCGTAACCTGGTATGCTTATCGAGACTGGGAACATACAGTGTGCATAACATAACTTCCAGTTTCCATCTAGAACATACAGCTTTCCACATCCTAAGGTAAAGTGAATAGAAAAGGGCATCCGTGCATGCAGATATCAGTTTATTGGTGTTAAGAGGTCTACTTGAGAAAGGATTTCTAGGGTACAAAAACTCTAATGTGATTCCTTAGTTATGAATATGTCAAAAGTATTTGGGGCAGTGGCAGATTTATATCTTCAAGAAAGTGAGGGGTCCTGCTTATCCAGACCCTAAGATAAGAGAGGGTGCAGCCTTTAAATTATTGTTGTAGGCCCCGTAGGCTTCAGTTTTGTCTAAAAATAAGGTGGTGTCTCTCTCCGTAGATGTGCCACTGTGGGCATGATGAAGTGTATTTCCAACAAAATGGTGGTTCTTTAGTTAAAAAAGTAACATGGAAAATGACATAGGCAAAAGTGTGCCTTGATGCAGCCAAATACAATGATTAATAGATAATTTATGATGACGGTACCTATGGTAATTATTTATATCTGTCTATCTGATTTCGTTAAAACTTGTCTGCTATATTTTTGCTTGGAGCTGGACATAGCCCAGCTCCAAGCCAGCTGTTGTCAAAAAAATTGCCATTGCCAGGCAGCACCATTTAAGTGTAAGGTTTGTGCAGCGCTTGAAAGAGCTTTTCCTCTTGTCTGGCCTAGGCTAGATCAATCTGGCCACTGCTGATAATAGTCATCATAATAATGATTGAAAAAATGTTCACCTTTGTTCTTACATCCTTCATGGCATTCATGACTATACATTGATGCCGCCCTGCTTCGCACAATGTATTCAGCTGCAGCATCTTTGGGTCCAGTGAAATCATCGGAGCTTGGCTCAACGGTAAATGCCCACTTCTCAACAAGATCCCATTCCAGGAGCTCCTTATACAGTTCACTCTCCCAGAACGCCCTAGCTACTGATTTGCGGTCGAGTTCCCCAGGAAGATGTGCTATGATGAAAAAATAACTTTATTTAATAATTTTGCTGTCCTAAATACAATAAATAAATATTAAACCTTCCAATAAGCAGCTTTAGAATAAACATGACGTTTGACCAGTAGTAGTCCAGTACTGGAGCTAGACCATGCAAATATCAGCAGGTTTGGTCCGCTACGTTGTACAGTCTTCAAGTTAATATTTTTAAAAAATGACATTTCAAGCATCACCTTTGTCAGCTTTGTGCTTTAATGTGGAGGAAGCATCACTGTCCTTTCCTGAAAGATGTTAAAAATGTAACATATACTACAGCTACAGCTACAGAAGTTTATAATGGGTTAGTGATAAATATTCTTGTCTGTGTATCATTTTCCTCAAAATCATGTATTGATCATGCAGTTGGACCCAGCTTTGGTTATCTCCATGCACTGCCCAGAATAAGTGTCCCATTAGTGTTATTGAGTCAATACCCAGTTAATAACTTGCTGCAAAATAAAATGATGAATTGCAAGGGATAATGTCTTATTTACAGGCAAGAAATCTACTTGTAGTATAACAAACAAGAGGGCTAATACTATGGTAATCGGAAGAGACGTCACCAGTGGTGCCTGGCCCAGACCACAAACAAATGACTGAAACAATTGAAAGAATGGCATGTCATTGTTTTCTGCAACTAATCAGGAGAGACCTTACGAGCAGCTCCTTCACAACTGGATAGTGTTATTGCGATAGTTTTATGAATTTTCAATTGCTGTGATATTTATGAAAAATCTCTAGTAGTCTTTTCTGGCCTTACAATAGACTACATTACTTCATTAGTTCGTATCTCTATCTAGGTGACATTTATTGCAACAACAATATTATTAGAAGCATGGTTATCGCAAAACAAAGAGCTTTACAAAGTACCGGTATGAATACTGCTACTTAAAGTATCAGCTGGTGTCTCACTGTCATCCGTGTTCTCCCCTTGCATCATCATCATCATCATCAACAATAATATCATTCTCTATAAAGTCTGTTTGAGAATAATAGTACAGTCATTTAGGTGCGTTATTACAACCATCCTGGTTGGCATATTTTACTGTAATTGAGAAGATTATCAAGTACCACAGATTAATTCCTGATTATTTCAAGTCGGTTAATTTGTCATAATCAGGTGACAAATATACTTGTAGATTCTAGTTTCTTGTTAAAACAATTGAGCCCTGGGCACATCCATCCTTTGGTATAAAAATATCATACAGAGAAGAGTCTGTAATGGAATCATCTACAAATATGTATATTTTAACAGGCTTTCTTTTTATTTTTGCATGTGGGCACATATTATGAAATTTAGGCTAAGTTAAACCTGAGACAGCGCTGGCCAGCTGTCTCTTGTCGTATATATGCGGGGGCGCCCTGATCACTTCGCAAGATTTATGGGTCATTTTACAGCCATTTTCTTGAGGGCAGGTCATTGCATTCGGGTGTGGTTGCTTGTCGTGGCTAGTGCTGGCAAACTTTTTTTTCTGTGCATTGTCTGGTATTACTTCGCACACAATACACAATACTATTATTCTTTAATAATAGTGTGTTAGCTGCTTTTCTTTAAATCTTACTACAATATTATAACAATATTAAGAAGTAATAATTAGACACAGTTGGAGTACTTCTTTTAAATAAATACGGTAAATAAAATACCATCTGAGAATCCAGCCCCAACAGTTTCTTGACAGCCAGCCTTATCTTGGCCTTCAGAGGAATCTCCTGTGACAACGCCTAACAAACCCAAAGAAGGAATTAAAAAGAACTTGTTGATTTAGAAACAAAACTTGGCAAGCATGGATGATTGAAAATTTACCTGAATCGAAATTTCTTTTAATCTCTTCACTGTATGTTTCATTATAGGAGACCGAAAAACCCTCAAATGATACGAAACAGTGATTTCTGAAAAAAAGAAATACGTGTGGCATATTTTAATATGGTTAGTACACCTTATTGTCAGCTGCATATGAAGCTAATCATGAACTGAATTTCTCAGAAGGGGCTATGCGGAAATCTTACCAAAGCCTTTGACTCATCAAGTCTGTGACAATAAATTGTTACTTAATGCGGTACACAGACTGGATCATATAAACATGAATGAATACACCGTGTAATATTTTATCCACTATAAACTTACATTAGCGATGGAAGCCAGCAATATAACTTTTTCTCCATGTATGTGACATTAGAGACTTCTAGTAAATCACAAGTACTGTTTAACTCCTTGGGATAGTAATACGAGCCACCACTTGTGTTAGTCATCATGGAATAACCATATGATACCTAGTATAAAAATAAGAAACAGCAAATGTAACTACATTGTAACTGTGGATTTACACTGTATGTAAGAGAAATATCCTTTTTTATATCCTTTTTTTTTTAATAAAAAAAATAATGAAATGCATACTCTAAAATCAGTTTTGATTGTTATTGACAAATACACAATAAAGCTTACGTACAGTGAAATAAAAAAAAAAGGTGTCAGAAAGCATCTTCGATTAAGAGAATGGTCTCTTAATTGTACATATTCCTTCTTTTTGTATTCATTCTTTTGCTTCAGGTGATCAATACCAAAAAAAGTTTTTAAATGAACAAGAAAACCTTAATTCAGATTGCCCACATCGCCGGTACTCAAATCGCTACTCTTTGCCTAGGCAAAATTATGACCTCAGTTGTAATTAAGTTTGTTTGCCTCGTTGCTCCATTCACCTTGTTAGAAAAATTAGTGAACTACATCAGGAAAAGTATGTCCTAAAAACGATTCCACTGAGTTGATTGACAGGTGGTGAGCGAAGCGAAAAAACGCCGTGAGCGTTGCCGTTAAAAAATTCACATTCCGTGAGCAAATTGAAATTGCCGTGAACAAGTTGAAATTGCCGTCTCCATACAAAAAGCTCTACAAAGGTGCGTGAAACGTTTCGCCAAATAACTCAGAAACTGTGGGCCACAGAGACCTGAGATTTCGACAATTGTTTATAAATTAGTTTTTTCATAACATTTCGTTTTCTTGGCTTCTTCCACTGGGCGGTTTCTAATTTATTTGTTTTTGCCGTGTTTATTGCGTGACAGTGACAACGAAGAATTCTCGGATAACATTACCTAGCTGCGTTGGGTGCTACGCGGCGGGACTGGGAACTGGTAAACTTACCTTGCAGTCTTGGCATCGTAGGTTAAGCTTTGTTAACGGTTGTGGACCCCGCAATGTGTACACAATACCGCTGCTTGGTGGATTTGGAGCGATGAGAATTGATCCACAGTGGAGGCAGTCCGTCACGGGAGGTGCTATGAACCTACTAAAATTTACTTTGCCACTGCCATTTAGCCGGAACAACGCCGTTTCAAACTCGCTGGTGTAATCGTTCGCAAAAAGGACCAGTTGGAACCAAATTCGTCGAGAAAGGTGACGACTTATTCCATAATCTCAAGCGTGAGCCCTCTTTGAGGGCAAAGGAAATCGACTATTTTGTGAATAATGCCACTACGGGACTTCTTGTAACGGTCGAACGCTTTTGGGACGTGGTTAATTGCAAGCATGGTCCACATGACTACATCGAATCCGAGAAGGAGTGCAAGTAAGCCGGCGACGTCGAAGTTAACCGTCTGCACCGTTCCCAGCATTTCTTTTATCTTCACTAGACTAAGACTTTCCCGAAACTGTTGCACATTTTGCGCGAATTCACGAGCCTGGCTAATTTCGCTCAAGATAGCTTCGGCCGAAAAGTCGACCTTTCGCTTTTTGGACGCCATCTTCGAAAGGCCTGGGAACAACAACACGCTATACGCTACTACGCCACTACGCTACTACGGTATTATTACAACCTGCCTTTTATTTTTTATACTACGTAACTACGAGTAGTAGAACCGTAGTTTCAAAAATCTACCTCATAAAACGTGCCTCTCATGTGCTCTAGGCACTAGGGGGATTCCCTATCCAAACTGTCGCTGCTGTTGAAAATGTATCAATTTAAATATTTTACTTCTTAAGAGGAGATATCTGAAATTGATAAACTATGATTCAAGAACAGCTGAACAGTGAAAATGTGAAATTTTAAGCTTATATTATTTTCCTTGCTCTCGCTATTTTTCCTCGTCTTTTCCTTTCTAAGTGTGATTTTCGGGCACAGTGAGAAACGAACCATCTTGGCCTAATAATAATATTACCTGTAAGTTGTCTCCTCTTTGCACTCCAAGAAATCCACTTGTGAATGTCTTTGAATAGCCTGAGAATGACTTTTCCGGAACTTAGAACAAATTGCTGTTGAGAGTAATTCAGGCTCACAAAGTTAATGGGGGTGACTGAACAAGCTTTAGCATGTGATGGGGAATGCCCTCTTTCCCTCCTGCCGCTGCCCCCTTACTCCACTGCTGTCCCAGCTCTTATATACTGTGCGTTTTTAGCAAACTTTCTTTGCTGTGGAAAACATTTCAACAATCTGAATTGAAACATTAAGTCCCTCACATGAGGTTGCCTTCAAAAGGCAAGTAGGTGAGTAGGGAGACAGTTTTTTTTTTTACGTCATGCAAAAATCTAAACTGCGCTTAGTGGCCTGGCTATTTTCGCATGAGGTTCATTCGATGATACGACGCTGAAAATCTTCGATGTTGAAACACTGGAAAACTTTGCAAGAGGGCTGGGTAAATGCCCTTGACACCCTTTATGACTTATTCTTGATACCTGATAATCTTCTTTGTATGGGCGAGAGCCTAAATAGATGGGTCTAAATGAATACAACACGTTTCCACAGCTACGAAAAATAGAATCTATCACATGGTTCAAAGAAAGAAAGTTTCTTCAACTGAGAAGTTTATGATCTGCCTAATAAATAAGTGCAGTTTTATATTTCTCACCCAAAGCAAATAAAACGGAACTTTCACAATTGCATTGAAATGAAATACAATTTAGATGTCACAATATAACATAGTATAACATATCTTATGTTATATAACATAACACATTTTATATTATATAACGTAACATGACATATGTTATAAAACATAACATAACATATTTTATATAGCATAACATGACACATGTTATATAACAACATGACACATGTTATATAACATAACATAACATATGTCATAACATATTTTATGTTATATAATATGACACGTTATATAACATTACATGACACATGTTATATAACATGACATATGTTATATAACGTAACATATATTATTTATATAACATAACAAAACATGACACATGTTATATATATATATGTTTTGTTCTGTTCTGTTAGAACATCAAGCCTGGCAGATATTCAGGCTCTTGTTTTTCTTTTAATACACTCACAGAATGTTAATTGAATTACTAGGGCACAAATAAACCCTAGACGTGAAAAAATGCAAATAAGCTTTTACATCAACCAGTTCCATTTATAAAATAATTTTATGTTCTTAGAAAGGATGTATTTTTTTTTCTTTTTTATTCTGTACACGTTTCTTTATTTGTATATTTATTTTCTTTTATTTGTATACATTTATTTTAGAAATGTTAGGTAAATTGCTTTAAAGCCTATGGAATGGTGAAATACATAAAAAATATTAATAATTAACAAGCGTTTTTAGGTATTAACTGAGATTTTCGGACAACCAACAAAAATCAAGAAGTCTAACCGACTACCGACAAAGATCGAAAATTTTAACCGACTACCGACAAAGTAACTGAATTTTAACCGACAACCGACAAATGGACCCCCTATTCAGACCCTCTAAATAAATAGAACACGTTTCCACAGCTACGAAAAATAGAATCTATCACATGGTTCAAAGAAAGAAAGTTTCTTCAACTGAGAAGTTTATGATCTGCTTAATAAATAAGTGCAGTTTTAGAT